ATTTCGAGAATCGTAGGAAGTATATTACACATTTCGCCGTTGGCGCTGTAATCTTCAACTGATTTAAACCCAATCCGCGCGCACTTCACACGAAATATTAACTTGGAATAAAAAATAAAAAACTATAGTCTAAATCTAATGCACAAATTTTTGAAAAATTCATGAAAAATTCTTAGAAAAGAATGAAAATATTCATACAGTAGATAAAAAATTGTCAATACTTTAAACTGTTATAATTTCTGAAAACAAAATTATAGAACAATTAACTTGATTTTATTTTAAAGCGCAAAGTTTACTTTAATAATCCTTCATTTCTTTCAAAGATATTTATTTTTACATCATGCATCAAATGTAAAAGTGAATTTTCGAATATTATAAAAACTCAAACTCTCTCGCTGAAGTGAAGTTTTTCCATCACTAAACAATTTTTTTTTTTTCATGACCAGATCAATCGTGATCTTGAAAATTGAAATCTTCGCTTTAGTGTACTCTTGATAACTAGCTGTACGAATTATTTTCGCAATTTTATTGAACAATAATTCATTAATTTTTAACGAGTTATAACAACAAACGACCTCGTATGCAAGCCATTGAATTCGTCTTAACAAATGACTTCGGAATTTCGAAAACGAATGTCCTGGAAGAAATAATTTACACTACACAATGTCAAAAACTTTATACCAAATAATACTTATGAAAACATTTCTTTAATACTTCCAAACTTTTATAAAATCGAGTTTGCGGGATTCATGCAGACTTTGAATGAATTCCACACTAAAATAAATAAAATAAGTAAAAAACGTCATATCTAATTCATATCTAATTATGCTGTTAAAAAATATATTTCAATCAATATTTTCTAATACCTTTAGATAAATGTAAATAATTAAATATATAATGAATTTTTCTTCCCAATTTCTATCAATCGTTATGTAAATCTTTATATTCCTTCATTGATGAAGTGTCACCACGTTCAATTCAATAAATAACTCTCGAAGCATATGTGTCCATATTTTTTTATTTTAATTCTCACCACTAGTGATGTTGCGATGGAAGACCTAAATGCCTAAATTGGTGCGACAGGATAACACGAAAATGGTAAGGGGGTCCTAGGACTCCAAAATCGTGGAACAAAAAAATACATTGCACGCGAGATCTATTCTTATACCTCGTCTGTGCTTGCGTATAGTCAAAAGGCGTCGACAAGGAAGAATAGCGAAAATCATTCTGTCCATTGAACGATGCTCTCGCAAGAAAGGCCTGGTAACTTGTCACTCGTAACGAAGTGAATCGTCGGGGACGCCTATTTCAGTGGAATTCACTTTGAATTTCTCACCCTTGCAACTTTTTCCGTTCTACGCGGGGACGTCGGTCTGCTATGCTTCCCCCGCGAATTACCTCGTCAGAAATTCAACCCTCGTACACAGCCATTTCGCAAATTCGATCTCCTTCCGTGAACGCTCCACGGGTAACGTCTCTTGGTGAACACGCGAGTGAACGAACGAGCGAACGAACGAACGAACGAACGAACGAACGCGCAAGGCAAGAACACCTTGTAAAGGCGGAAAGCGAGGCGAAACGAAGAAGTCAATGGCGTTACGTCGATTCGTTCACACAATTTTGGCGGATAAAAGTTTTTCGAATCGACTCACGGTCGATTCCCTCTCGATTCGTCAAAGACGTGCACGTGTAAGGTGGAAGTTCGTTGGGAAATTGAAGTTTATCTATGGTAACACTGTGGTGATATAAATTCTTTTCTATCTCTCTCTCTATCTCTCTCTTTCTTAATGTGGCTCTCGCTAATATAGAAACGTTTCACGAGACATTCTACGAAAATTTTTCCTTCTGTAGTTTCTGAATGGCAGAAATATTCCACGAACCCTTTTCGGGCGAAGTATCTCTAATGGAAGTAAATAGAAATATTCTACGAATTTCTTTTTACATAGTTTGACACCGTAGAATAGAGGAGAGAATTCTAGAAGCATTCTTTTTTCGTACTTCTACGAGGTACCTCTAATGGAAATAAATAGAGATGTCCTACGAATTTCTTTTTTATAATTCGACACCGTAGAAATATCTTTAATAAACGTAAAACAGAAATTGATGTAGAAAATTATTAATAAACTATGGACGTTCGTATATTTATAGGAAATTGAAGTGTATAAGAATGCACAGAATGCAAGTAACACGGAAAAATAAATGAAATATTCGAAGTAAAGTAATCGTTATGAGACTGCACGAAATTTCATTTAGATCCCATTCCTGTAATTATGTAATTTATTTATGTATAAACTTGGTGCAAATAACCATGTTTTATGGAAATGAAGAGCGAGCGAAATTGAAATTAAAATTGTATTATCCCGAACCGTCAATATATATCTATAATAGTATAATAAATATATATAGTAATTGGGTTTCAATCGGAAGTTAAATTAATCAATGTATTGGATTTAATTATTTGATTTTTGAAAAATTAAACAGGGACGCTATGTTCTATATATAATAAAAATACGAATTTCTTGGAAGATAGATCTGGTTCGTTTAATTTCTAAATCATATTTGGTACTAGCTGTAATTTGGAACCAGGAAAAATTATTTTCGTTAATGAAGTAATTCATTAATTCGCGAGTTCTTAATTTTTAAGGAAAGACAAGAATCTTTCTATCCTTCGTAAAACATACCAAAAGTATATTTAATAGAGATATTAAGAAGAGGAAAGTTTGATGTTTCTAATATTAAAAAATATTTCCATTCTTTCGAACCCGATGCAAATAATTTTTTTACACTATGTTACTTTCGTAGCGATACTTTACGATTTATATACGATTCTTACATTATATCATTGTAAACATATGAATAATACAGAATAACGCAGTATCATTATTATTAAATAAATTATAACAACAATTCGTCTATCCTATGCATTTTACTAAAGAGAAATGATGGAAGGAACAAAAATATAGGAGAATTCAAATAATATCGAATACAGAGGAAAAAGAAAATTATCATGAGAATATATTGAATAGAAATTTCACTCCAATTACGTCACGAACAACACAACTAATTTCGTTTCCGGATCCCATTAAATCCATTCTGAGCAGAGAAACGAAATCCCCGTACGTTTCAACATTATCAGCACCAACGTTGGTAGAA